AGGGTTATGGTTAGGGTGCGGGTTAGGTTTAGGATTAGATTTAGACTCAGACTTAGACTTTATTGATCCCTTGGGAAGACTCCCTCAGGAACTTAAAGTTACCAGCAGCTTACAGGTAAAGAAAAGTGGCACACAGAGAGAAAAATGCAAAAAAAATACAAAAAATACAGATTAGGTACAGAATACATTAGGGTTAGGGTTAGGTTTAGGATTAGAGTTAGACCTAGACTTAATTGATCCCTTGGGAAGAATCCCTCAGGAAATTAAAGTTACTAGCAGCTTACAGGGCAAAAAAGTGGCACACAGAGAGAAAAATGCAAAATAAAATACAAAAAATACAGATTAAGTACAGAATACATTAGGGTTAGGGTTAGGGTCAGGGTTATGGTTAGGGTTAGGGTTAGGTTTAGGATTAGATTTAGACTTAGAGTTAGACTTGTACTTTATTGATCCCTTGGGAAGAATCCCTCAGGAAATTAAAGTTACCAGCATCTTACAGGTCAAAAAAAGTGGCACACAGAGAGTAAAATTAAGCAAAAAAAAAACAAAAAAAAAACAGATTAAGTACAGAATACATTAGGGTTAGGGTTATGATTAGGTTTAGGATTAGATTTAGACTTAGAGTTAGACTTAGACTTAATTGATCCCTTGGGAAGACTCCCTCAGGAAATTAAAGTTACCATCAGCTTACAGGGCAAAAACAGTGGCACACAGAGAGCAAAATTAAGCAAAAAAATAAATAAAATAAAAATAAAGATTATGTACAGGTACAATCTTAATGTGAATAGTCAAAAAAATAATATAAATATGGATTAAATGTGGATTTTCTGAGGATCTTAGTACTTAATGCCCAATAACAAGGGACATTTACTCACTGTTTTTAGGCCGTTTTGGGGCTGTTTTCTGCCCGTTTCTGTTGTTTTTCTACTTTTTTCTGCCTTTTTCTATCTCTTTTGGAAGTTTTTCTGCTGTTTTCTGCCTTTTTCTTTATTATTGTATTGTGTATTCTGTATCATTCTGGATAATTTGAGGATCTTAGTACTGAATGCCCAATAACAAGGGACATTTTCACACTGTTTTTAGGCCGTTTTTAGGCTGTTTTCTGCCTTTTTCTGTTTTTCTATTTTTTTCTGCCTTTCTATCTCTTTCTGATGTTTTTCTACCCTTTTCTATTTTTTTCTGCTGTTTTCTACTTTCTCTGTAATATTGTATTGTGTATTCTGTATTATTGTGGATTATCTGAGGATCTTAGTACTGAATGCCCAATAACAAGGGACATTTACACACTATAGGACCAGTTTGATACAACACGATTTCAGACAATATCTAGAATTAGTGGTTTGGGGGTCTTTGGACTGTAAAACCTTGCAGACCCCTGGTCTAAAGGAACTTTCTGATAGAGAACCCCTCTTTACCTGAGCCAGGATCTTGAGCGGGGCCTTTCCTCCCTGTTTGGCGTCCACGGTGAACTCGGTGGGTTTCCCCACAGCCAGCCCGCTGCTCTGGAGGCCGGGGCCGTGCGCCTTCACCTGGGAAACACAGGTCAAAGGTCAGGGGTCAGGGGTCAGATATCAGGGGTCAGATATCAGGGGTCAGAGGTCAGGGGGGAGCCGGGCGCCTCTCAGGTCAGAGGCTTTTATTTATCCCGGTATGGGCAAGTTTTGTGCAGAAGTAGTACACTTTTCACACATAAAAACACTAGAAACATATCAAATATTTAAAAAAAAGATTAAAGTAAGGTGGATAAATAAATAAATATGTATATAAATAAATAAATAGATCCAGGATCCTCTCGGGTCAGAGGCTTTTATGTGTCCCAGTATGGGCAATTTTTGTGCAGTAGTAGTACACTTTCACACAAACACAGGAAACGCATAAAATATTTTAAAAAGATAAAAAGGTGGATAAATAAAGAAATATGTATATAAATAAATAAATAAATAGATCCGGGATCCTCTCGGGTCAGAGGCTTTTATGTGTCCCAGTATGGGCAATTTTTGTGCAGTAGTAGTACACTTTTCACACATAAAAAACACAAGAAACATATCAAATATTTTAAAAAGATGAAAAGGTGGATAAATAAAGAAATATGTATATAAATAAATAAATAGATCCGGGATACTCTCAGGTCAGAGGCTTTTATGTGTCCCAGTATGGGCAATTTTTGTGCAGTAGTAGTACACTTTCACACATAAAAAACACAGGAAACGCATAAAATATTTTAAAAAGATAAAAAGGTGGATAAATAAAGAAATATGTATATAAATAAATAAATAAATAGATCCGGGATCCTCTTGGGTCAGAGGCTTTTATGTGTTTCAGTATGGGCATTTTTTGTGCAGTAGTAGTACACATTCACACATAAAAAACACAAGAAACACATCAAATATTTTAAAAAGATAAAAGTCAGGTGGATAAATAAATAAATATGTACATAAATAAATTGATAAATAAATTAAGTATGCCTATATGCATGCAACATATGACTATCTGCTTTACTTAGTAGAGTTTAAAAGCTGAACAGCAGAGGGAACTAGAAAAAGGTGTGAGAATGCCAAAAGCTGAATGGAGGAAGAAGAAGAAGCCAAAGCCAAAGAAAAGCTGAAAAAAATACATGGAATTGGAGTGGAAGAAGAAAGGCAAAAGGATTAGAAGAAGAAATGCTGAAGGGAGGAACCAGAAGAAGCCAAAAAAAAAGCTGAAGAAGACATTGAATCAAGAGTGGGAAAAAAAAAGACAGAAGGATTAGAAGAACTGAAGACTTTAAAGGGATTTGAACCAGCGACTTCTCAAACTGGAATAAAAGACTCTACCATTTAACTTTATCCTACTCAGAAAGGCTGCATAGGACTACAAAACAAGAATTTAAAGGGGTGAAATGCCAGTGACCAGCAGATGGCGCCATGCTTTTGACTCCATTCATTTCAATGAGAGACAATAAAAGCAGAAAAAGTTAAATAACTTAAAAAGTTGAAAAGAAACCTAGCTAGCTTTCTCAGAGGGGGGGGTTGTGTTGTGCAACATATGTGGTATAACATAAGTTGTTATATATATGTTTATATATTTCTCAATAAATATAACGGGTAGATCATTTTGACTGGGTCTAAAGGATCTACAGAACATGTCAGAGTCTGGTCAACCTGACACCTAGCTAGCTCAAACCTCGCTAGCTCTCCCAGACGGGGTATGGGGGTTTTGGGGGGGTACCTTGTCCGGGTAGAAGTCCTTCCCCGGGGGGGCCACTATCTCGGCCATGAACGGGGAGTGCTGGATGTCCTCGCTATTCTCACAGCCTTTTTCTAGTCATTTTTATTCTTCACATCAAGAAGAGCGTACAAGCAGAAGTATGGACTCTATGAATATCTATAAAATCTATATGGATAAAAATATAAATATAAAATACAAAAATATGAAAATCTATATAGATAAAAATATAAATATAAAAATATATAATATACAATACAAAAAATATAAAAATATATAAAATCTATGTAGATAAAAATATAAAAATATATAA